TGCTTACTTCCAAAGCAGCCATAGTAAATTCCAGTACCAGAACTAATGGCTAGTACTATGAAAAATATGAGGTAGTCGTACCAGAAAAAGCCAGACATGACTTGTTTTCAGTAGACCTGAAAAGTTAAAACTGGATGTGGTAACACATTTAATGGTTTACTATGTAGATTATACATAATCTAGTGTTTTACGTAGTACTTTTTATCTATATACAAAGTGTTTCAGAATTCATTTGGTTTGTTATTTACATAATGTGATGTTTTCCATGATATTTTTTTTTTATATACGGTTTTTTATTGCTGTGCATTTGCTTAAATCAGATCGCTTTAACAGAAAGAAAGTCTTAAAATTAAAATAAAAATGTAAATGAGAGTAATTATCCACTGATAGAAGTTTTTTATGAATTCGCCTTCTAGAGTGACTATTTTGCGAACTCAAAGTCAGAACAGATTGCAAATTGGATCTTCGCTATTTTTGTAATTTTTTTAAAATTCATATAAATTTTTCTACAATGTTTTTCAATTATTATTAAAAAATTGTTACATTTTTGCGGGTAGCATACTTAGATCAGCAAAAATTTTTTTTGAATGTTTATCACTCACAAAAACTCTGTTTGCAATATCTTTCCCAAGATACTAACATAAACTTTTATCGACACCGAGAACACAATTGTTACCCTTTTTCCGCAGACAACAATTTAGCGTATTACAATGACGTTTCAGATTTATTGATAAAAATTGAAGCAAATGATTGGTATCTTTTTAGGCACTTCCAAACGAAGTCTAAAGTGCGTACTTTTGATTGCTATAAAGACAATTTTAGGTAGATAAATATCATTGTTAGAACTTCCAAAATTTCTACTATGGTGTTTAGCCGGAAAAGCCTGTATAACAAGGCACTAAATTTAAAGAATTTTATATCGAATATATGATAACAAAAAGAAGACTAAAGAGCTCATAAATAAATTTATTTTTCTTAAGTATTTGAGTCTTTCGTCATGAGAGTTTTTAATTCTAGACAATCAACTTCGGATTTAGTATTATCTGACAAAAATCTACGAATTACAGGACTTATTAATTTTTTATCAACTGGAGGATCTTTCTTGTTTGTTAAATAACTGATAATTAGTCCCACTGTTAGAGTAACAATGAGTCCTGATATGCAGTTGTAAAAATGCGACAACCTAAAGATAAAAAATGGTTTAAATCTAAAACCAAAATTGTTGTAAGTATTGTTGTAACACAATTTACAATAATCCTATACTCTGAATGTGAAGTAACGTTGTTGGGTTGAATAAAACTGTTGGAAAATGTATTGTTAATTGCCAGAGAAGTATTGGTCCAACATCCACTCACAGAAAACGTTTTAGGAACATCAACAATGATTTTTTTGTATCGATACACTTTTGAAACAACAAACACGAAAGTTTGAAAGATAAATGACGAAACAGCACCGTAAAATGCACCCTAGGGTTATTATTAAAGTAATTTTGATTTTGTTTTATTGTTTTACCTTAGCGTTAGCTTTTGGGAAGAGAAGTCCTAAACAAAATACACCCAACGTTGGTCCGTATGCCATGGATTTTGCACTGACTGCAAGAGGGAGAATATCTCCCAAATATTGCAACACAAGTATTAAAAACATACTGAAAATACCACTTATGACAACAATTAATCTCAAAATTCTGCCAGACGTTTTCTCTTTAATATTGCCTTTCCAATATTGCGAAAGAAAATCTTTGTAAACGACACCAGATATTGCATTCAGACTTGAAGATGTAGTACTAAAATATCAGAAATAGTTTTTTAATCACTTATTTATGCCATAAAGGATTTTTTCCCTATATTCACCTCATAGTAGCACAGAATAATCCAACCAAAGTAAACCCAATTACCCCAGGAATATGGCCAGCAATTTCCATAGTGTAATACGGTAATAACTGCTCATGTCGTTGTATTTTCTCAGTAATAATAGGATCGCAATTTGCATAATGTGCGTAGAATAAAAGACCCAATAAAATGCAAAATATATACACTATATCCATTGTTATCACATAAAAAACCATTGCCCTAAGTAGAAATACAGATATATCGGAGTGTAATAAACAATTTTCTCGACAATATAATTGTCAAAAGTGTGCGAATTGTGTGCTTTTACTTACCAAATCCATTCACGAAATGTCGGTAATGCTAGATATTTTTGAACTCCAGATTGCGAAATATTCACATAAATCATCCATTGAAACGTAGAACCAACTATGTATGTCCAAAAACTGTCACGAAGCGTGGGATCTAAGTCAAAACTGGAAACCAGAATTATTTTTTTTATGATTTCCGAACGAAATTTACTTCAAAATATCGAGTCTTCCACCATCGAGTGCTGTTTTCCATAGTGACGAAAAATTTGCAGTGGTATTTAAACCGATTACACAAATTATAAGTAGAGATAAAAAAATTATTCCAATTTGGAAAATATCAGTCCATACGACAGTTTTTAGTCCCCCGATTGTAGTATAGAAAATACAAGTGCCAAACACACAA